TGACGTTCTATACATGTGTATATATATATATGTACTAGTGGGGCTAACACCCTCCTGCACGTTCTGCGCGCCAACCCCCCACTAACAGATTAAATAGACAAATTAACGACATTACTCGTGTATTTATCGATGCAGGCTGAAAATTAGTTCACAACAGCAGAATACTTGAGTAACGAAGCAGTTAATAAAACAAATGATTGATTTAACATAATTCAATTAACATAAATATTAATTTTCCAATAGTATTTTTAAATAATTTTCGAGAGAGTCTTTCATTACACGAATTAAAATGAAAAATAAATGCTATAGTAGTGTTAATGAGAACTTTAAGTACATCAGACGGTCTCTGTAGAGGCACAAGATTAAAAATAACAAAATCATTTAAGTATAATATAGAAGCAGAAATAATTATGGAAGAAAAAAAGCAAAGTTTATATTCCTAGAATAACATTGAATACTGTCGTCTTATTATCATTACCTTTTGTCTGCTATAGAAAACAGTTTCCCTTTGTATTAGCATGTTCTATATTTATGAAAAAATCAGAAAAACAGAGTTTGGATTCTTTAGAATTGTATATTGGCAAAAACTATTATTCTCTTACGAACAATTATATGTTGCTTTATTAAGATGTAAGAATCCAAAAAGAATTTTTATTCAAATTGTATCCGAGAATAAATCAGAAATAAAAAATATTGTTTAGCTAGAAATTTTTCAGTAATTCAAAAATATGTAACTTTGAAAATCGTCACATTAAAACAGACGTATGTTAATTCATAAAAACCATGAAAAACAGATATGTGAAAAATGTGGAAAGGGTTTAAAAAGAGTAGATGGGTTAAAATGACACATGAAATGTCACATCATTAAGATAACAGAATGAATTATTGTTTCAAAAGCTCAATTGTGTTTGTCTATTTAATATTACCTCCTCCTGAATTCTGTCATTTACTTAATAAAGTCTTTAAGTAGTCAAGAATTTTATATTTGAATAAAGTAGACATGGACCAGAAAGATATTTTAAATGTAACAATTCAATCAAGTTAAACAAATAATGGTACTTCAGAGTCACATAGTGAGTAAGGGGAAGCGAATAGACAGAGGGAGACCTATGATCAGTAAAAATGAGGTATGACTTAGGTACTAAACTGCGTATATTTTCAAACATTTATGATGGTAAAACATTAGATAAATAAGTATTTTATTGGGGGGAGGGGGAGCGAGGAGGAGCTGAGGAGGAGCTGAGGGGGAGCGGGGGGGAGCTCACTCAAATATAATTTGATTAAAAATAACGTTAAAACAAGCAAATAACTACGTAAATCGGGGGAAGCTGAGGGAGAGTGGGGGGAGCAGGGGGGCTGAGACTCACTTTCGTCAACACAACTATATAAT